CTGCAGCAAGGTGGGTGTGCTTAGGGTCCTGTGTGCACTGCAGCAAGCGCATTAGGTACAAATGAAAAAATACAAGTAAAGAATAGAATTTAATTAGTTTTTAAAAATCAGTTTGGGTTTGTTAATTAGGACAAACAGATTTTGCCAAGTAAGGTGTTAACACTTGGGGTTACTGGTGGTGAGAACATGGTAACTCTCTGTTCACAGATTTTTCATTTGTAAGTGCAAAACCACTCTGAGAAAGTTAATTTCTTTAAAACAACAGTATGGTAGACTATTAGTTAATGATGTGTTACATTCTTTTATGCTGTGGAACACTTGCTTAATGATGCAAAGATGTGCTGCATTCTTTTATGTTGCATTTGTTTAACTCTGTGAAGCTGTGTTGCTTTGCCTGCCTAAAAGAGCTGATGGTCTAATCAGGAGCTGAATGGCCAATAGCTATGCAGGATAAAGACAGGCTGGGCTGCCACGCCGAGAGAATCAAATAGGATGAGAGAGAGAATAAAAGAGAGAGGAGGAGGGAAAAAAGGGGAAGGAGAAGAGGACCCCAGTGGCCAGCCACCTCTCAGCAGCTCCGACTAGAACCACATGCGCCCACTCAGACTCTCCTTTGAACTTGAAGCCTTCCTAACAGCACATCTTTCAAAAACATCACCCTAGAAGATGCAGTGATCAGAACATTTTAAGGCAAACTTAAGCCTTTGCAGGTGTTTCTTTTTGAGGAGGGGAGCTAAGTCTTCATTTCAGTTGGGTCTTAAGAACTATTCTAAAAACAAAGTCTTTGTTCCTGTTGTTGGATTGAATGAGGGGGGACAGGGCTAGTCTACATATATACAACTTCCTAAAGTCTGTTACAACGTAAGTCCTGTCAGGCTTTGAAAGCCTTTCCCACGTCCATTCTTCCAAAAATAGGAAATCAGTCATCACCTCTACAAGACTTAGACTCCTATATATACATCCTCCTGGGTATTCGAAACCCTAATTTCTGGGAAGATTTTGAAGAGCACTGAATCTGACGTCAAGATGGCCTCAGTTCACATCTCCCTCTCTTTCTTTAACCGGATGTATCCTCCAGTGGCTCCTTTTTTCTAAGCCTGGGTTTGCTCGTGTGCATACAAACTTTGAACATTGCTTGTTGCATGTGTCTCACTGCACCCCGAGACTTCACCAGTAGTGAAGACTTCACCAGTAGTGAAGTGGGTACAGTCTCGGGCATCTCAAACTTTCAATACATTTCCTTTCTGCTCTTCCTGCTCACTTTCATCCGGTGGCTCAGCTGGCAAAGGTGCCTGCTCCCAAGCCCGAGGTTCTGAATTTCATCCCTAGGAACCAAAAGGTGGAAGGAAAGAACGAGTCCCACACGTTGTGCTCTGACATCTACAGTGAGCCATCCATCTCTCTCTCTCTCTCTCTCTCTCTCTCTCTCTCTCTCTCACACACACACACACACACACACACACACACACACACACACACACACCAATAAAAATAAATAGCAGAGGATGGTGGCCCGCGCCTTTAATCCCAACACTCAGGAGGCAGAGGCAGGCAGATCTCCTCAGAGACTGGTTCCAGGACAGTCAGAGCTACACAGAGAAACCCTGTCTGAAAACAGTAAACGTAAATCAGTAATGACTGCATTTCTTGTCGGGAAAAAAATTCAACATAAGCAAGGATGAAGGATGTGACGAGCATCTCAGAACAGCGAAGTTTCCAGGAAAAGATGAAATAACCATACTTCACTCGGTCACTGTCTTAGCTGTGCAACACTAATCAGAACTAGCATCCTGAATTACTCCACAAGGCTCATCTGAGAACCAGACAGACCTGGATGGAGGACTGTGGGTTGGATTAAAATTGACAGCCGTGTTAAGTAGCAAAGTGGCATGAAGTGACGAAAGGAGAATGCAAATGAGAGATTTTACGAACTAGCGATCAATCTACTGGACGCGTTGAGAAACAATTATGTTTCTGAAATAAGTCCGGCAACATTCCCCAGTTCAAGTGCTCAGAAAGGTTACTTGCTGCCTCACTTGTGTGTGTAGGCGTGTGTTTTGTATAACAGTACATGTATCAGTGTATGCGTGTATTTCTATTTCGTGTGTGTGTGTGCACGTGTGCGCACGTGTGTACGTGTGTGTATTCTATGCCATATATATACCCGGTATGTACTGCCATTTCTTCGATGAAATCAACAAGGTCAGACTGAGATTCTGTCATCAATTATTGTTGGAATGTGGCTGAAAAGGGAAAGAATTTGGAATCAGTTGCCGTTGGCCAGGGATGGTTCCTTTCGTTAGAAGCTGCTTCCTTGTCCCCAATACATTCTGATCCGCCTAACTGGCAGTTTTCCAAGGACACCTGGCACTGTGAAGAGAGAGGTTCAAATGGTGCCAATACGGTGACAGTGGAGAGAGCCTCGCAGATTCCCAGTTGGAAGTCACTACGGTGAATTGAAAGCGTCTTTGCCTGGAGTTCTTTTTTTCCAGCGCCTGGTCTAGCCTGGGAGGGAGTCAAGGCCCCTGGTTAGGAACCCCAGTCTGCTGTGGTTGGGCAGCGTCCTCCCGCGCTTCTCTCGCGCCTCCTGGAGCCGGGGGCGAGCCGGGATGGGCGAGTCTCAGGAAGCATCGGTCCGGGACCTACGCGCTAGTGCAGGGAAGTTCCCGCTGTTGAGAAACCGGTGGGCGAGAGTCGGGTCGCGTCTCCATGGCAACCCGGTGGTGCCTAGCGGCGCAGGGGGGGACGCAGCGGGCTGGTACCCGCGGCCCAGGACTGCTCAGACCTTTCCAGAGAGCAGCGCAGGTAACCGACTGGCTCCGTGGACCGGCCCGGACCCTCCACTCCATCCAGCTGGCGCGGGACGGCAGGGTCCACGTGCTGGGCAAACTAGGAGACAAGCTTCCAGCAGAATCATGGCCTTTGCCTCAGTTTCCCTCTTTTATTTGTCTGTACTTCCTGATCTAGTTTTGCCTCCCACCACCTCGCATTTCTGCCCCGCTGGGGCAGTTCCTGTGGTGTGAATGGAGATTCTTTCTCCCTCCTTCCCTCCCTCCCTTCCTTCCCCTTCTTCCTCTTCCAATTCCTTTTTCCCTCCCCCTTTGTTTCTTCCTTTTTCCTTTCCCTCTTCCTCCTCTCCTCTTTCCCCCTCCCTCATCCCTTCTCAGTTGTTTAATTGGTTCATATAATTTTTAGGAGGGTTTAAATTGATTTTAACACTTCATTAATTTACATTATAGATTAGTCCACTCCTCAAGCAAGCATGCGTGTGTGTGTCTATATGTGCATGTGTGTGTGTGTGTCTGTGTGTCTATGTGTGTCTGTCTGTGTGTGTGTACATGTGTGTGTGTCTCTGTCTGTGTGTGTGTCTCTGTGTCTGTGTCTGTGTTGTGTCTGCGTGACTGTGGGGGATCTCTGTGTGTGTGTCTCTGTGTGCATCTGTGTCTGCGTGTGTGCATGTGTGTGTCTGTGTTGTGTCTGCGTGACTGTGGGGGGATCTCTGTGTGTGTCTCTGTGTGCATCTGTGTGTGCGTGTGTGCATGTGTGCGTGTGTGCGTGTGTGTGTCTATATGCGCATGTATGTGTGTCTGTACGTCTATGTGTGTCTGTCTCTGTGTGTGTACGTGTGTGTGTGTGTCTGTGTTGTGTCTGCGTGACTGTGGGGGGAATCTCTGTGTGTGTCTCTGTGTGCATCTGTGTCTGAATGTGTGTGTGTGCGTGTGTGCACGCGTGTGTGTATTTGTGTGCGTGTGCATGTGTGTGTGCGCACGCATGTGCGTGTGTAGGCATATGGCTGGAGGTGCTCTCACGGAGCAGAAGAGGCATCAGAGTGCCCTGGGGCTGGAGTTATAGGTGCTTTTGAGCCACCTGACCAGTGCTGGGGCCCTCTATACACTCTTAGACACTTTGCATCCTGACTGCTGGACCTCCTCTCTAGCCCCGTTCCTAGATATTCTGTCCTAAATTTCCTGCTGTATTCACGCTTCTTAAAGGTCAAGAAAAGCCAATGAAAGAATGCATACTCTAAGGCAAAGCATAGGAGCTTCATTAAGATGGACATGTGGGGCTCCAGACAGCATTCCTCTTAGCAGGAATTATGAACTGAACACTCCACAAGGCAACTGACACCAAGCTGCCGCTGTGCTAATGAATGCATGCTGCTTTCAACCAAGGGCTGAGCTGGTGTTCCTATTTGTGTGGGGCCTTCAAACCAATGAAGGTCCACCCTCTTCTGTGCTGGTAGAAGCAAGCCTCCATACTCCTAAAATCCCATACTAAATAATGACTTACCAACAGCAAGAACTTCATCTTATATTAATATTTGTAAACACTTTATAAATCTAAATAATTTCCCCTGACAGATTAAAACTCAAGAAGAACAAGCCAGATGTAGACGGTTTTTGGCATGGAGAACCAAGCCCACACCACAGCAGGGTAAGTGTGCAGAAACTTCTCTTTACTGAGTTCATCTTTGTGCCCAAAACTCCTTGGTGGAGCACGAGTTTTGAAATGAATTGTTCCAAGAAGGATGTGCTGATTGCCTTTGGTAAGTAGACTGAGGGGAATTTCAGATAGCATCTGGAGAATCTCTTTACATGAGTCTTCCTGATGCTGAAAGGCTGGCTCTACTCCAGAAGAGAGCACCTTTCGTAACGCTGTTGGATCACAGGTACAGACCCGGGGTGGGGCAGGTATCCTCAGCACTCCCAGGTCCGCAGCACAGCCCTTCCTGGCCAGCTTGCTCCTTTCCTGCTGTAGTGAGTGTCTCTCCGCTCCTGTTCTGAAGACTTACCATGTTCTCTCAACATGTAAACATAGCCCGCAATACACGTATTCCCACAGAGCAGCGAGAATGAGCTATTTTAGTTAAGAAACGGTGATTGGAAAACATTCATTGTGGTAGAAAGGGAACCAAATTCCTTTTCCCAGCTCTGTCCCATCTCTTCTCGGGCATCAGCACCGTGAAGATTTCTCTATCCATCTGGCCACTGGTGGGACTCAAATTGGGGGAGCAGCAGGTACTTCGGAGCCGAGTCTTGACTGACTGCTGTTGAGTCTAGTCACTGCTCCAAGTGTCTCACTTCCAGTGACCTGCTCAGGCTGTGGGTCTGACACCGGGGAAAGAAGAGCGAAGAAGCATAAACAATGATGGCTCTACCTGGAGCCCTGCTCCCTTCCTCTGACAGCCCTTATTCTCAGCGAGAAAACAGAACATATTGCAGTATAACTGGAGGTCCTGAAACACACACACCACACACACACAAAACGCGAAACCTTAAGTAACAAGAAAGCTCATCTCGGTGCCAGACGGAGAGGGTCCTCTCTGACCCACAGTGACTGCTTCCGCTCCAGTCATGGTGCCTGTTTGCCTTCTGTCATGGCAGTGTTCCCGATAAATGGGAAGGAAGGGCAGAAAGACTTTCCTTCTAGGGGTCTGGACTTAGGAGAGCTTGGCTTATGGCCGCTTGCATGCCTGAGTGAAGCTAGAAACCTTCGGTAGGAACCGTCCTCAGATTTCAGCTCTGGATCGTTTGTGCACACTAGAGAGCTGTAGATTCACTCTGGCAATACCGCTGAGCTCACACTCTGTTAGCCACGCAATGGTGAGGGCAGACCAGCACCCTACCTCAGAACACTGGGTGCTCAGCTGGTCGGCCTATTCGGTGCTTTCTCAGTCTGAGGTATTTTCAGTATATGATGGCCCTGTCCTGCCATAGCCAATTCCACTGTAAGTTGCGGGGCATCTGAAAGGGTGAAGAATGACCATTGCTGCATTCCCAGCAGACTCTGCCCCACTGAACCCCAGAGCGATGGACAGAACGCTGGTCAATGAAGGATGCAGGGTCTGAATGGAAATACATCTGGCTCCAAAGCCTGAATTCTTTCTACACTGGAAGTGGATTGCACTGAGGTGTGAGAGGCAGCCTGCCTAGAGTCCACATCACAGTCGGGTCAGAAGGAGCCTGCGTGGGGTCCCTGGTGTGACTGTATGTAACAGTAGGATACAGTAAGACAGACTGGGGGCCTCAAGCCCGGGGCTAGCAGATGGCCTCAGCCCTGCAGATCTGAAGGCGTGGTTGGTGCTCTGCATTCATTTTTTGGAAACAAAGTAAGCTGTACTGAGTGTTAAGCCCTGAAATGCAAAGGTTATTTAAAAACAGACTTGGTCCTTAGAGAACTTAGACATTATTGGAGAGAGTTGAACTTGTTTGGGTACAGAGCAGAAGTTAATGAGCACCCCACAGTTGCCCGGAAAACCAACTGTCACTCATCAGGGTAGGCGTGTGGCCAGACACTGTGTACTGTGGTCTCCAGAGCACAGAGACCACAGACTCACGGTGTTAAGGAACAGGTAAATGTGGCTCATTCTCCAGGAATTTGTTAGGGAGTTCATAAACATGTTCCTCTGGTGTTTCTTGAAGCAGCTTGTTCTCAACAAATACTTAGCACCTACTGGGAGCTTATATAGCTCTAAAGCCTTAGGAACAGACAAATATGTATCAAACACTGATAAGAAAAAGAAGGTATGTGTGCAATACAAAAATTCACTTGGTTCTATACATTACCAAAACCAAAATCTAGTTGTGTTGGCGCCCACCCAGTCTTCTACTCCAAAAGGCAGCCACTTTCAATGCTTTTAGCAGGGTTCCCTCCCAAGCCTTTGGTGTCTAACCCAGTATCTTCAAATAACACACTTTAGTTGATTTTTCAATTTTAAGCACTGTCTATTGGCTCTTACACTGGACATCTCTCTCTCTCTCTCTCTCTCTCTCTCTCTCTCTCGCTCTCTCTCGCTCTCTCTCTCTCTCTTTACTCTCTCTCTCTCTCCCTTCCTCCCTCCCTCCCTCATTTCCTCCCTCCTTCCCCTGCCTCACACACAGACATACACACACAAGCATGCTTTTTCTCCCCTATCCCCCAATTAACCATGATTTTGGAAGCATCCATAATCTCTATATGTCTTCATAATAGTCTTCTTACGACTTTATAAGCCGCATCCATCTTGAAGGCTGACTGAGATCATTTTCTCTTTCTAGTCAACACTTTTCCTTCCTGGAGTTAGTGATCCTGACATCACAAACTTTTGGAGTCTTCTTCTTTCTCCACAGTTCCCTTCTTTAAAGGGAGTGGGGGTGGGATTTATTTCATAAAAATAAAGATGTAAACTTTATTTTAAAATAAATTTCTTTTTTTTAAATATATTTATTTATTTATTTATTTATTTATTTATTTATTTATTTATTATGTATACAATATTCTGTCTGTGTGTATGTCTCCAGGCCAGAAGAGGGCACCAGACGTCATTAGAGATGGCTGTGAGCCACCATGTGGTTGCTGGGAATTGAACTCAGGACCTTTGGAAGAGGAGGCAATGCTCTTAACCTCTGAACCATCTCTCCAGCCCCAAAATAAATTTCTTTTAAACTATCTTTACAAAGATGCCTTGCCCTTTGGACCTGCCCACCTTCTCCATCCTGTGAGCTGCTTTCTTTGGCCCCTGAGCTCACTTACTCAGTCCAGGATCACCCATGGTACGGTGCTGTCCCTACTTGGGGTGCTGTTTCCCTCTAGAAAGTCCTTCACAGGCATGCCCAGAGGCCTGTCCCCCAGGTGAGTCTAGATCGTCAAGTTCACAGTCACTATTAACTGTTACAACTTGCTACCTGACTCCCACAATTTTCACCTTTGTAGATTTAACTTTGCAGGTTAAAATGCGCATTTGCTTCATTTTAGTAGGCTTGAGAAAGAAGCAAACTCTGTGGACTCATGCATCTTTATCCAAAGCCTGTTTTTCCTTTTTCCTCTGCTGAGTCTCTCATGGTCTCTGCATTCTTTGACTGACTCCTCAGCTCCTCGTCTCTTTCACAGTCTTATAAAGGGTTCTGGGAATCAGAATGCCTCTGCACACACCAGTAAACCCTTCTCATCTTCCAGAGAACTGAGAAAGATTGAGTCTTAAAGAGCAGCTTCCTACCTGAATCCCAGAAGCCTTTCCTGACCCCGCTTCCCCTGTGTGTCTTCTTAACACTCAAGGACCCTTCCCTGGGAGACACAGAATCACAGCTACGCTTGCTCATTTCGTGGTGGGTTAAGTACAGTTTTATCATTGATAAAAAGAAATTCTGATTTTTTTTCTGATCTAAGCCCCTACAGCAGGACCATAACAAGCAGCAGCAGCACATTCTTTTTGCACACTGAGAATTCTTTTTGACTGATTTCCGTGACTCTCTGGGACTTCTGGCTGGCCCAGACCTTCCTGTTCTCCCCACCTTGCTCTTTCCATCCTGATCCTCACCTGAACAGGCGCACTTAACGGGTCCCTCTAATTTCTTGTGTCTTCAGATGAAGAAATGGGAAAGAGATGGGGATGGGGCATCCTGGTGTGCAGTGTGAAGGTGGATGCTGAAGTGTTAGCTGGGGGCCGATGAGGGACAGGATCGGTGACTGTGAACGAAAGAAAACTCAGAAGGAGGGAGGAGATTCCCTTGAAAGACAGATTGGGTTACTAACAATGTTAGAGAAAGGTTAAGGAGCGTCACCACACAAAACACACTTGCCTGCACTTTTTATAGGACGCCATTGGTCATATTAGCCATTGGTTACATTAAAGGGAAAAGGGGCCTGAGTGTGTAGACCTAACTGTGCACACTGGCACCAGGCACACCTAATATGACCTGGTGTTCTTTGGTGCATAGTTTTGCGACATGTCGGAACCATCTAAAACAGCTGAGAGTCTCCAGTCGGTGTGGTTGGCACGTGAGGGTTAGCGCTGTATAAATCTCCCAGGGTTCTGCCTCTGACGAGAGGAGTGACCTCTTTGGATAGCAGCTAAGACAAAGTCAGGCCCTCTCTCCTCCAAAGCCAAGAAGCACAAAGAAAAAAGAAAGCTGGGAACAGAGCCAGGAAAGAAGCTCAAGCAGTGGTGACCAAGGCCCCACAGGGACTGGACCTAAACCAGCGACAGCAGCATCTTCTCTCTCACACCTCAGTGACTAGAAGAGCATGGGAGTCGGGAGCTCAGTGACTGGAAGAGCATGGGAGTCAGGAGTGATGTCAAAGACACAAAGAGCTGCAGTACACCATATGCAGAGAGCCGAAAGAGAAGGAGCTAAGAGTTCAGAATTGGGAGGAAGCAGAACGCCCTGATCGTGGGACACACAGCCAGGGGTATGTAAGACACACAGCCCTCAGTATGTGAGACACGCAGCCAGGGGTACGTGGGACACACAGCCAGGGATATGTGGGACACACAGCCAGGGGTGTGTGGGACACACAGCCAGGGATACATGGGACACACAGCCAGGGATATGTGGGACACACAGCCAGGGGTACGTGGGACACACAGCCAGGGATACGTGGGACACACAGCCAGGGATACGTGGGACACACAGCCAGGGGTATGTGGGACACACAGCCAGGGGTACGTGGGACAC